TTCTACAAAGATGTTCAGTTTCTGTTTCTGTTTTGTTGTTGTTGTTCTGGCACCTGGCAACGCTTAGGGGTTACTCCTAGCTCTGCACTAAAGGAGTTTACTTCAGGCAGTGCTTTGATGGACCATATAGGAAGCTGGGATTGAACCTGGGTCATCCGCTACATGAAAGGTAAACGCCCTACCCACTGTACTATCATGCCAGAGTTGGATAACATTGGTTTGGAGTTTAGGTTTACTGAGCTACTTCCCATCACGTGCCCCCGAGGCACACCCGATTCCATCAGCACTCCTAATCTTATATTGCTTTTCTCTTTCCTGTAGGTCCTTTGCATGGTTTAGCAATGTCCTCTTTCTATAGACACAGAAACACAGTTGAAACTATGTTTTCACAACATAAGAGTTAACTAATACCAAATAATATTTATTCCTGGGTATCCATCATATTTACTTGACTTAAGCCTCAGTTGTCCTTACCTCCTAACACCCCCAAAAAGGGTCCCGGCGAGGGACTTGGATGGACCCAGGGCAAGCAGTAAGCTACGCTGGCATCAAAAAGGGACAAGCTGAGCGCCATAAGAAGTACAAACTGTCATGACCCAAAAAGAAGTAACTGAGTAAGAACCCTGTTGGAGTTGGGAAAGACCAATCTCGTCTGAGCACTACAGTCTGGGTCGTATAGCAAGATGTCCCCAGGAAGAACCACTCTTTAAGCTTAAGATGTCTCTTATTGTGTCCATACGAAATGACTAGAAATATTAGTAAGAAGGAAATTCAACAGGATTGTTTAAATGGATTACTAGCGAAGGAAAGGAGAAAGCAATATGCCCTTAGATGGATCCTGCCCTTGAGCGATCTCCTAGTAGTCTAGAGTGCTGAACCCCTAGAGGAGATTGTGTCCTTGAGTTAATCTAGAACTTTCCTGAAGGAGGGGCTCTGCCTCTGTTTACTGTAGTGTTCAGCCAAATCGTGTGTATCCCCACCCTTCGTGATTTCTATATAATGAATGCTGTGAAAAGAAGAAACAGCCACTGATTAACAACCAGACTATGGGCCACTAATTACCAGCCAGTCTGCGACCCCGTTCCTCCATTCCTTTTCCTTCGGTCGTCCATCACCTGGCCAGAGGACAGTTAGTTCTGTTACCAAACTCACACATCGCACACCTACTTTGAACTCATGCTTGGGCCCAGGTACTTTTTAAATGGCACAATCAGGGTAGGAGCAACAGTACAGCAGGTAGGACGCTTGCCTTGCACACCGCTAGCCCGGATTCTATCCCCGGCACCCCATGTTACCTCTGAGCCTACCAGGAGTGACCCCTGAGCACAGAGCCAGGAGTAAGCCCTGAGCTGCAGGTGCCAGGTGCAGCACAAAACCTCCACCAACAAAAGACAAAAATCAGAGATAGAAGCAGTATAAAGCAAAAAAAAAAAAAAAAAAGCAATAAAGGCAAAAAAAAAGGGGGGGGTGATATTTGCCTTGCAGATAGTTGACCCAGTTCAATCCCCAATAGCACATATGGTCTCCCAAGTTCCTCCAGAAGTTATCCTTGAGTACAGAGCCAGGAGTAAGCCCTGAGCACCACTGGGTGTACCCCCCCCAAAAAAAAAGAAAGACAAAATTATAAGCTGGACAGTACAGGAATTAAGGCACTTGCCTTGTACACAGCTGACCCGCGTTAAAACCCTGACAAGCTCGGTTCCCCAGCACTTCCTGGACGGCCCCAGCACAGAACCAGGCTCCCTAGGCCAAGGCAGGTGATGACCCTAAAATTCAAAGATCAAATGACAAAATCCAGGTGTTCATTGGATTCGGCTTGGTTTCTGGGCCACACCTGGCAGTGCCTGGGGGGTGCTCCCAGCACTATGCCTGGGATGCAGGTCTGTGCCGAGGATGAACCCTGAGCCGCGCACTCCAGGGCACACTCCCCGCTCAAATGCTGCTTCCCCCACTTTCTAAATAAGGGAAGAATGAAGGACTGTGCTTGACTATTCCCGTGAAGAATAATAAAAATAGTTCCTATTTTGTGCTTCAAGGCCGAATTTTTTTTTTCTTCAGAGATGAAGAAACTATTCTTCTCTGACAAATGGGAAAAAGAGAGCAAGAAAAAAATCAAATTAGAAAAGAATTTTCAGTGCAACATCACAGGAGGATTCTTGAATCCTCAACTATTTTTGGTGTGCATCTAGGTTTTGGGGGGAGAAAAATCTAAATGGGCTCATGTCCCAATTAAACAGGAATCTGTGTCTCTGCTGCCCAGGTCTTTTGAATAAAAGTCTTACATACTATCAGCAATATTTAACTGAGGTTAAAAAAAAAAAAAGTTGTGGTTAGCCTTTTTACCTCGGCTAACCTAACACTGATTTCAACTGTTCTTCATGTCAGTCAACTGACTTACTCAAAATCTAGACGCAGGGGCTGGAGCAATAGCACAATAGGTAGGGCGTTTGCCTTACAGGCAGCCAACCCGGGTTCGATTCCCAGCATCCCATGGGGTCCCGAGCACCGCCAGGAGTAATTCCTGAGTGCAGAGCCAGGAGGAACCCCTGTGCATCACCGGGTTTGACCCAAAAAGCAAAAAACAAAAAAAAACCCCTAGATGCAGCCTCTATCAAGTCAGGCTGACATCTGTCACCTGATTTCATAAGAAGCTGGTTTTAACAGAGAGGCAGGAATAATGCCTTAAGTATTTAAAAGTGAGTAACTTCTCTCTTTCATTCAACATCCTGTAAGGAGAAGACAGAAGAGGGGCAGGAGGGCTGGTGGGCCACACCACAGCGAGTTGGGTGGCTCAATTCCAGGCATCATACATGGTCGTTCCTCTCTACCCCCCAAAAAATATAAGTGAAGGAAAAGCAATGACAAACTGAGTATCACCTCTATTCCAGGTCTGACACACACCGCTTCAAAGACCGACAAAGGTACACAACCCCTCAAAGTTAAGAAAATTCGCTTTATGGGCTCAGAGTTATAGTAGACGGTGGGAAGGAATCACGCCAACCTTGGTTCAATCCCCGGCACACATAAAGGTCGCCCACCCCAAGCACAGTCAGGAGTGATCCCAAGTGCAGGACCTGCAGAAAACCCTGAGCACCACCAGGGGTGCTGCTCCTTGCACCCCCCACCCTCAAGAAGAAGAGCATCCCCTTCTATTCTTAAGGAACTAGCCACACAAGGACCCACTGTTAATAGGACAAGTTTCTCAAGCAGAAATATTCCACTTAATCTCCAGAATACTATTCTACAAGTTCCGCTAAACTATTTTACCCAGTCCTTCTTGAAAGACCTTTTTTTGTTTGTTTCTGGGACCAGCGATGCTCAGAGACTACTCCTGGCAGTGCTCGGAGGACCACCAGGTCCTTTAAGGACCATACAGGATGCCAGACCGAACCCAGGTCAGCCTCACAGAAGGCCAACGCCTTATCCACTTACTATCCCTCCTGAAAGACCTTTTGAGATGCCTAATACCTCTATCTCTGAACTTCCATAGGAAAAAGAACAAGGATTTTCAAAATGCACACGAGAGGCCAGGAAGACAGCTCGATAGGGACGCGCGTGCTGTGGACTATGGAGACTGCGCCTATGGACCCGAGCACAGAGTAGCCCCTGAGCACTGCCAGGGTGACCTAAAACAAACGAAAAATGCGAGAAGCCCCAGAATGGTAAAATTCACTAACTTACACAGAATCTCAATCAAAAAAAAAAAAAAAACCTTCAGAAGCAAAACCAAAAACAACTGCTGTTATAGGAAATCAATGTGAAAAAACTTGGTTGACGGTTTATTACGCAAACTGAAGGTTATATCCTTTATAACTAACACAGAAATTGTTAAACATTTTCAACAGATTTCACTAGTAGGCAAGGTCATCAATTCAACTTCAGAGGCACGACCTATTCATCTCAATAAAACGGAAATTGAAAACTTCAAAAGAACAAAAAAATTCACTAACTTAGACTGTCCAAACTCAGAAGCTGGGAATCCAGATATCTGGAATTACTCTCTGCCTCTGCAGCCCAGGCACCCAAGCACACACAGTCGCTCTGTTTATACAGACACCTGAAACAGACGGTCTCTTATCCTGCAGCGCTGATAAAACAGTGAAACAGTGCAGAGAGCAATGATGTAAGCAAGGCAGTGCTCAGAAGGCAGCTCTTTCTCCCAGGGAGAGCGACAAGTGAAGGCTGCCCTTTTCCGTCTGGCCTGTCTGGAGTCCTCTTGGATCCCTTGCTAGGAAAGCTGGGTGAAGATGGAGTTTTAGGACTCCGACACAGAGCAAAACTAGGGTCTGCTTGAGGCTTGCATCGACACGCGAGTCTCAACTTTGCCGAAATAGTATCCAGCACCCTCTACAGAAACAGCCCCGAGAGGCTCTAAGACCACTGTCCTTCAGCTCCCCCCGAGTCAGTGACCTCTCACAGCAGTCGAGGGGCGTGGAATATGAGCCAACATCACTTCACTGGATGGAGGGGTAGGCCAGAACTGATGCGAAATCTACCTGGGTTACCTTAAAACCCACTGACATAACCAACATCTTCTAAGAAACAACCTCAGCCCAAAAGAACACAAGCATAAGGAATAATCTGACACGTAAAGTGTGCTGGGGGAGTTAGGCCTGTGTGTGTACCCACAGTTACACTATGGATATACACACAGTCTCCTATGCATACATACGCACGTGTGAAAACAACACACACACACACACACACACACACACACACACGTGTCCTTTGGAGGCAATTTAAGTGTCCAATTTATCAGTTCTTTGCCCTGAAGAGAACTTAGGTTAACGTTTTGTTTCCTTTTCTGGCTTTTTTTTAAGCCATTATATTTAATAAATTATCTCCCAAAGGTCATTTTCTATTTACAAAAACCATCAGAGTAGCTAGAGATGAGAAATACGGAACTACAAATGGACCAGGAGCCCATCTTGTGTAAACGACATACCAAACCGAAGTTCGACCCCTGAGGGAACCTGGGATGGTCATCACTGATTACTTACTTGTTAAAAAAAGGTTCAATGAGCTTTGATCTGGCAGACACATGGATTTTTGGAGGACTAAGGAAGGAGCCTAACGAAGAAAAGATGCAGAGGGTTACACAATCACACAATCCCCGGCATCCCATGTGGTCCCCCAAGCACCGCCAGGCGTAGTTCCTGAGTGCAGTCAGGAAGAATCCTGAGCAGTGTTGGGTGTGGCCAAAAAAAGAGAACTGCATTGAAACCGACGGTGCGATTCCAAAGGATAAAAAGCGCAGGGAGAAGCCGCGGTGTCATGTACTTTCCACCCCTCCTCCTACCCCCCCACTGGGCCCTCCCCCTTCTACGCAGGTCACTGAATGCAGGAAAAGGGAAGTGGGAAGCCGTGCTGCACGTCTGCGGGCCCCAAAGGGCAGGAGTACCAAGGTAGTCGGCCATGGTGATGAAGCACAGCCCCGTGATGTAAGCGTCGTAGCCCGCCTCGTGCAGCTGCTCCGACGCCGTGTCGTAGCTCGGAAAACCTTCGGCACTTTCTAAAGAGAACAGAGCAAAGGACATTTTCCTAAGGACACCACAAAATACGAGTCCACACCTTCTCCTAAGAAAAAAGCGACCTACTTTCAACCCTCCCCACTGCATTTCCTTTTTTGTTTTTGTTTTTTGGGTCCCAACACCCAGCGATGCACAGGGGGGTCACTCCTGGCTCTGCACTCAGGAATTACTCATAGCGGTGCTCGGGGACCATATGGGATGCTGGGAATCAAACCCGGTCAGCCGCGTGCAAGGCAAACACTGTGCTCCAGTCCCCTTCTTCATTTCTTCTTCTAATGCTTCATACGTACAGGCCCGCCGTGTCCATTCTGCTGCCGAGACTGGCCTTCCTGCCTCCCGCCCAGGCGCACAGGAGGCCGCTCGGGGCCGGCTCTTCTCTGTCGCCAATGCTGAGTGATGAGGCACACGGAAAGCTCAGAGGAAGGTGACGGGAACTCGGCTGGGACTGAGTCTCCATCGCCCTCTGTTCCGTGTCCCTGGGCCGCCACTCGGTAAAGCGTAGGTGAGGATTCGCCTACTCTGACTCTCGGGAGGACCAAGGAGTTCATGGAAGAAAGGAAAGCTCACACACAGGCCACGGGGACACGCAAACAGCCAGTGACTGCAACCAAGCCCTGCCCCAGGGACCCCTACCCACACCAGACTTCGATCACCACTGTCCTTTACTTCGTTTCCACACTTACAGATGGAATGCCAGGAACAGATGAAACAGATGAGACCCCACAGGACGCACCCTTGGCGCCCAGGGCCTGATCACCAGAGACATCTAACCTGGCTCCTTCGTCATCCTGACACAGAGGCTAAGGGACAGCATCTGGGAAGGGTGTCCAGCAATGTGCGCTACAGAGACCAGAATAGCTTATGGAAAGGAAGCTAACATAAATGCGGATTTCCTAAAATAAGACTGAAAGAGGATCAAGAAGGTCCCAACAGGGGCTGGAGCAATTGCACAGCAAGGAGGGTGTTTGCCTTGCATGCAGCCCATCCGGGTTTGAGTCCCAGCATCCCATAAGGTCAGCTGTGCACCGCCAGGAGTAATGCCTGAGTGCGGAGCCAGGAGGAAGCCCTGCGCATTGCCAGGTATGACCCAGAAAAAAAAAAAAGGTCCCAACAGAATCAAAAGCACGAACGTAGGCGTTGACCATGACGAAGCTGTGTCCCTTTTGATTTCAGCACACAGCTCTTTAAGAGGATCTTTAGGGGCCAGGGAGGTGGCTCAATGGTAAGGTGTACCACTGTACCTGAGACTAAAGTTCCATCCCTGCACTGCCAAAAAAATTTGAGAAAAAAAATTTTAAGTGCTAGCCTCCATGCCAACACCAGCTGAAATACCTAATGGCCAAATCAATTACTTTCATTATATTGTTACAGGAAGGTCTAGAGTTTTCTCCCCTCCACCCCTATTCTTAATTCCTTTTTGAACTGTTACCAGAAAGGGAGGCGAATAACTATGATCCTGGCTCTTTAGTACTTCCACTGTCAATTTTGGAATCACTAGTCCTATTATCTGTAGGAGCTTGCTGGCTACAGCTAATGGAACGCCAATCATGGTATCAGCAGCACAACCAGACTAATAGGCACCGTGGAAGGTTATCCCAATGCCTGTGTAGGAGCCAAAGAGGTGGCAAAACACCTCTAGCCCTAGACACGTTCCTCCTACTTCTGGGCCACTCTAATGCCACCCCACTCACAGGCAGGGCTAAAGACGCCCTTCTCAGCCAGAAAGCCAGACCTTCTTCAGAGACACAAAGTAGATTCTCATTCTGCCCCTGGCAACTCATCACCGATCCTCTGTCACTATTTCTTTTAACTTTTTTTTTTGGCATTTTGGGTCACACCTGGCGATGCACAGGGGTTCCTCCTGGCTCTGCCCTCAGGAATTACCCACTGGCGGTGCTCAGGGGATCATATGGGATGCTGGGAATCGAACCCGGGTTGGCCGCGTGCAAGGCCCACGCCCTCCCCGCTGTGCTACTGCTCCAGCCCCTGTCACTATTTCAATAATGTACCACAGAAAAGAGAATTCATCAGGTTTGGGAAGAATTTCAAGCATTAGGATATAAAAGCCGGAAGCGTCAATTGCCAGATCTCTCAATGAACGGGCTTCCCAACTCTCTATTAACATCAAACAAATGTAGGGGCTGGAACAATAGCGCAGCAGGGAGGGAGCTTGCCTTGCACACGCAACCGGGGTTCAATCCCCAGAACCACCTATGAAGCCCACCAGAAGTGATCCCTGAGCACAGAGCCAGGAGGAAGGCCTGAGCACCACCAGGTGTGGCCCCAAAACCAAACCAAACCATAAAAATAGAGGATTAGCGGGCGGGAGCGACAGCACAGCAGGTAGGGCGTTGTTTGCCTTGTACATGGCCAACCCACGTTCAATTCCCAACATCCCATATGATCCCCCGAGCACCACCAGGGGCAATTCCTGAGTGCAGAGCCAGGAGTAACCCCTGAGCATCGCCAGGTGTCACCCAAAAAGAAAAAAAAAAGAGTAGAGATTATCAGATCATCTTTATTCAGAAATGGTGACAACATGGAGTCTGAGCAGCTGAGGGTCAGATGTGCAGTGACATGCCCAGGGCAGGTCCCTGCCCTAGACAGTAGACATCAACACTCCTCCTGGCAGGGGGTGAGGAGAAAGGGGGGGGGGGGGGCACAGGGTTCCCGAGCACGTTCTCTCTTACCAACTTTAGGAGGGCTGAATGGTGTCGCTTTTAACCGCTTTTCTAATTCCGCAAGGGAAGTATTGTTGATGATGTCCTGCAAACCAAGCAGCAGAGCGCTCATGTCCTTGGGGTGACAATGAAGAGGCTGAGCACAACGGGGGCACAGGATCACCTAGTCCTGCCCCCTGGGTCCCTTAAAGAAACGCAGGAGTCGCCAACATGAAAGAGAAGCGGCAACTTTTGCTGTCACTACAGGAAAGGGAGCACAGCAAGTGAGCAAACTTGAATTTTCATGATAAGAAAATATGTCCAAAAAAAAAAACATAAAGGAAAATGGAAATATATGCACTTGAAATCTATTTAAAAACACATTATGCATTCTAATATTGAATACTTGCATTGAAAGTGAAAACACTGTCACTGTCCTCCTGTTGTTCATCGATTTGCTCGAGCAGGCCCAGTAACGTCTCCATTTTGAGACTTGCTGTTACTGTGTTTGGCATATCGAATATGTCACGGGGAGCTTGCCAGGCTCTGCCGTGCGGGCGAGATACTCTTGGTAGCTTGCCGGGCTCTCCGAGAGGGGCGGAGGAATCGAACCCGGCTCAGCCGGCTGGCTGCAAGGCAAACGCCCTACCGCTGTGCTATCGCTCCAGCGAAATAAAGGAGAAAGCAAAAGAGAAAAAAAATGCAATTGTACCACTGAAGACAACTGATGTTCACATTTTGATATACTTCTAATCTTTCTCCGATTTCTTTTGTTTGACTTTTTTTTCGGCTCCGCTATGATGGGTGTATTTGAAAATAACATATTTAAATAGACCAAAATTCCAGGATTCTTGGCAGCAATTCAGAAAACACCAGGGAGATGGCTCAAAGGATCAAAGTACCAGCTCTGCATGTGCCCCAGGGTTATTCCTGGGACCTCGCACTGCTGGAACCCTGAGCACTAAGTTGGGAGGAGTCTCTAAGCATTGCCGGGTGTGGACCAAAATGAAAAACAAAATCCCAAACTATAACTTATCAGTGGTAGTTCCAATCTTTCAAATACCTTAAAAGGCTGTGTGCTGGCCATCAATTTTGTATCCAGGAGTCTAAAAACAGAAGCACATTTAGCAAGGTAAACAGAATGTCGATCACAAAACCTATTCTACTCAGGGGAGTCTGCGGGCTTAACCGTGGACAGGGAGAGTGATCACAGGAGCTGTCGTGAACAGAGCGCCAGCAGTCCTGGCTCATCAGATGGGAGGTGGGGGAGAGGGGAGGTGCTGTTCCAGGGCCACCAGACTGCGTGGGGCTCAGCCGCTGCCAAAGGCAAGTCCCAAGACTACGGGTCTCAGGTCCCAAGCTCTTACATCCCCCACCACATCCCAGACCGGAGCACGCCAATGCTTAAGAGGGTCAAAACCTGCATCGGAGAGGCTCAGGTTAGGGTTACTTCTTACTTTTCTATTTCAGAGGTTTGAATACTTAAAACAAAAGAAAATGAGGCAGTGAAGAGACAGACTGAAAGGTACCCTTCTTTTCAGAGCGACAGGAACTCAGGAGGCAAGCACACAAAAGCAGCCTGGCGAGGAGAGCAACTGCCCCAACTTCCGGAGCAAGGGGGAGCAGGCCAGCCCCTCTCAAGAAGGGCCTCCCATGTGGACGCTCTGTACATTCCATGTGGCTAACAAAAGATCGACAGACAGCTGACATGTCAGAATCTAATGTGCACCATTAACTGTGGGACACACCAACAGAGCAGGACACTAAGTTATAGTGGTGTGGGTTAAAAAAAAAACAACACCTCTGGGGCTGGAGCAATAGTACAGCAGGGAGGGCATCTGCCTTGCTTGCAGCCGACCCGGGTTCAATCCCCAGCATCCTATATGGTTCCCCGAGCACCACCAGGAGTAATTCCTGAGTACAGAGCCAGGAAGAACCCCTGAGCATCACTGGGTGTGACCCAAAAAGAAAAAAGAAAAGAAAAAGAAAGACCTCTTAACATAAGGTTTTCAACTGACCACATTACATTCTCAACTGGATGCTTCAACAAGGACCCGGTCCGTCCAGGACACTAGAAAGAACAGAAGCAGCCCAGAAAAGCCCACCGAGTCCTTCAGACTAACAAGCTGCGGGCCACGTAAGAGTTCGGTTGTATGCTGGAGCAGCAAGACAGTGGGGAGGCCCTCTGCTTGCATGAGCCAACTGGATTAGATCTCCGGCGTCCCTAGCACCACTAGGAGTGATTCCTGAGTGAAGAGCCAGGAACAACCCTGAGCATCGCTACGTGTGATCCCAAAACAAAATGAAACCAAAGAGTTCTGCTGTTCATTTTCACTCAGTTGAAATTCTGATTTTTGGCAAAAATTATCATCAGTGATTAAAACAAACCAATCCAAAGTTGAGCTCTTAACCCATATCCCAGCTTCTCTAAACTGGACTGTAATGTTTAAATGAACGACCATGTATCTACTTGGACCAGAAGTGCATTGGGGCTGTTAAAAGAAAAAATCCGCACAGAAAGCTTACCTGGGGAAAACACACGTCGTCATCTCCTTAAACTCGTTTAAGTCCTAAATACAAGAAAATGACTTGTTACCATCTGATTAACAGACTCAGTGTTAGATGCATAAAGTCGTTCCAGTTCCAGCTCTTTCCTCCAAAGCAACAGAAGCCTCACACGGGCCCTTCCGGCTAAATGCATATCCAGGGAGTAATTACTTTTAAACTTTTTGTAATGTATCACTAATTGAAACTTATAATCTGACATAATGTCCTACATGGCCAAATTAGACAAGTTTAAGCACGAATTACGGCTAAACTAGGAGGGTAAAGGTAGAAAACTTTGCAAGAAAAAAGATCTCCTGCACAAAATCATTCTGATCATGAGATTAGCAGTTACTTCAATAAAATGGCTTATGCAGGAAATGAAAACACTGAAACTGTATTACACATTAATGAAATCCCTTAGATGTGCTGGCTAAGATGGCTCTAATACACCATCTTTCCAACACATACATACATACACACACACACACACACACACACACACACACACAAATATTCTTGCTCTGATTTTTGATTAGTCAGAAAATCGCTCAAATGGCACCAGTAGGCAAGTGCCTGGATTAGGTGATCCATTTCTCTGGTTTATTTTCATCAGGAAGTCCAAAGCTAAAATGATACTGCTCAAATTCTGGAAGCGTTCGTTCATGTCATCTCCAGGCGACACTGGGCAGTCTCATTCCTGACTAAATATTCCCCCCTGTAGTACTATTCATGCTTCATAGGAAACTACCATTTCCAAGTAGCTTTCCAAGCCTGTAAATACAAACTATATTACTTGGTCAACATGAACTACACTCGGAGACTCCTGTCAAATTAACAGACAATACAGGCAAGTAGTTTCACTGCTAAATGCACAGGTGACTGTAAACTCTTGATATCACTACATATAAAAGACTAACAAGAAAAAAAAAGTTGGAATTATGGTCACTTCCATGACTTACAAACAGCTGATTTCTAGTTTGATTCCTTTAATTTAAACACCACCGTTTACAAATTGTTCATGATGACTTGTTAAGAGCAAAGCTGGGTTTTTGGGGGGTGGGGGAGGACTGGGGCCACGTCCAGAAATCAGGGGTTATTCCTGGTTCTGCGCTTGGTAGTGATTCCTAAGTACTCCCTGGGCACCGCCAGGAGTGATCCCCGAACACAGAGTTAAGGGCACAGCTGGGTGTACCCCAAGAACAACAACTGAAATACAGTGATTGAAAGGAAGCTAAAGGTGGCAGGTATGTGTGTGTTACCTACGGGAAAAATAAGGCAACCCGCTAGCAACACGCAAAGCCTTCGTCTGGAGAGACAGCACCAAGAGGAGCCCTAGGGGGCCATGAGTAACCAGCTCCGGCCACAGGAGTTCTGAGACAGCCAAACAGAACCAACAAAAGCCACTGGTGACTGGGTGTCACTTAAAGAGCCGCAGATCAGAGCCATCAGGCACAAGCTCCACTGGAGACATAAACTCTACCCACACCCGAGCCCGGGAGCCATCCAGGAAGACACGTGACATTCAGCACGGGGACATCTGCAGTGGGGACAGAGGCCACAGCACAGCAGTGGATGAAATGACCCTGCGGCAGAGCAGGGGTGTGGAGGGGGCACACAGGCCAGAGCACAGGGAGAGGAGGAAGGGAATGGGGAAAGGACAGGGCAGAGCACAGGGAGAGGAGAAGCGGGAAGGGGACGGAGAGAGGAGCTCTCCTCCCAGGGAGCCAGAGAAGCCGATGCCTTCGCTGCACCGAGAGTGAGTAAACACAGCCCAGTCAAGCCTGAGCTAACAGGAAGTGGCGCGGCAGGCGGGAGCACCAACGCTGCAGGCCCGTGCAGCTGCCTAGCTGCCTGGCTCTCGGCCCACGTGTCTTAACCTGGGGCCCGAGAAGCTCTGCCCAGCACGAGTTGACCAACCACTGGCACCACGGCAAAACACACTGCGCCTTGCTCAGGAAGCAGCTGACAACCAAACCCTCCCAACAGGCTACGCATCTCTCTTCCGAATGTATGCTGGGCTTCAGACTCGGCCCGAGCGCCCGCCCCCGAGGTGAGAATGGCCTGTGAGTCGGACAGCAGGCACTCACCGTGGGCAGCGGGCAGTAGAACTGATGGACCGTGTGCATGACGTCCAGGAGCATATTATGTCCGATGACCAGCTTTCCCTGCAGAGGCAAAATCGGGAAGAGAACGTCGAGACACCAATTCAACATTAGGCCTTGAGGCTGAAACGCACAGGTCCCACTCCATGAGGACTCTGTACCATACTTGCACTTCAACATTTAAAAAATACTGGGGTTGGAGCGATAGCACAGCGGGTAGAGCCTTTCCAGCCCGGGTTCGGTTCCCAGCATCCCAGAGAGTCCCCCAAGCACTGCCAGGAGTAATTCCTGAACACAGAGCCAGGAGTAACCCCTGTGCATTGCCCAAAAACAAAACAACAACAACAACAAAATTATACACGGAGGTGAGACAGAGTACAGAGTACAGAGGGTTAAGCCAACCTGTCTGATCCTCAGAACAACATGTGACCTTCCATGATCACAAAAAGTGAACCCTGAGCTAAGAGCTGGGAGTAAGCCCAAAGTTTGACTCAACAAAGTAGACATTTATGCAGTCAAGTAAATCAGAGCTGGCTTCCTTTCTCTTCGGTTTGAGGGTATAAAGGCCAGGCTGCAATGGAAAACAGCTCCACATTATTTTTATTTCATTCATCTTTTCTGTAATTTTTGTTGACAACGCTACACCCAAGAATCAGAAGTAATGAAGAGCCGGGAGTAAGCCGTGAGCACCATCAGGTGTGGCTCAAAGAACAAAACAAAAAATAGCAGATCACCTTTTGGGGAGCCACACACGGCAGTGGTCAGGGATTACTCCTGGCTCTGCACTCAAGGAGCACTTCTGACGGGCTCAGGGGACCTTGGGAAATGCCCAGAATCAAACCCGTAGGATAATATTGCTTTGTCCTTTCCCCCTTGCCAGAGGAGCTTAGGTTTATCAGGCTACACCCATCAAAGGGCTCCCGAGTCACTCCCGTTCCTTCGTTTATCTGTAACCTCCTCTCTCTGCTCTCTTCCCCAACCAGTCAATCAGCTTTTCCTCCAATCAGACTCTGTTAATTTGTAAGCTCAGATCCTTCTAGGACACTGGAATTGTACTGTAGGTTAATATTGCCTTTCTCCTCTCCTGATGTCTTTTGAATAGTTTACTTTAAAGCAATGTCCTATTTGTATAGATACAGGAAGACAGTTAATATTATGCTTTGTAACTTAGGATTTAATTGGCTTTGAATATTATTCACTCCTGGGCATCTGCTTTCTCGACTTCAGCCTCAGTTGCCCTTAGTTCCTAGCACCCAAAAGCAGGGTCCCGACAAGAGACTGAATGGACCCAAGGCAAGCTGTGAGCTACCCTGGCATCGAAATGGGCCAGGTCAAAGTGCCACAATTCTTAACTATAAGAGTTTGATCATAGACAAATGTTGTCATGATCCAAAAGTAGCGACGAGACTAGGACCCTGCTAGGGATAGGAAAGACTATCTGGTCTGAGGACTGTAGTCTGAGATCGAGATGGCCCTAGGAGAGCAATTCTATAAGCTTCATGTATTTCTGAGACCACTCTCCACACGCATGAAGGTACTGGCAGAGGAACAAAGGCATGCGGGTCCCGGGGCTGAGATCTCCAAACCTGCTTGGATAGGGGCTGAGCATCCTCCACCCAGATCCTCCACCTTCCAGTAGGCAGGGGTCACACCCACCAACTGGCTCCCTGGTGTAATCCCATCAATGGCCAAGACCCAAAGACTATAAAACCCAGCTCCCAGAAGCATGAGGCTGCATTTGCGGCCGTGTGACATCTTACTATCTCATTCTTGCTTTGGACAACCTGGCAGGCTACGGAATGTGGAATGTGACCTGCCCGCACGGCAGAGTCTGACAAACTCCCCGTGGCATACCCAATATGCCAAATACCAGTAACAATGACGGGTCTCTTTCTCCTAACCCTGAAAGAGCCTTGAATATGGCACTTTTTAAAAAAAAATCTCAGGGCTAGGATGAAGGAGATGTTACTGGTGCCTGCTCGAGGCAATTGACGAACAACAGGATGATCGTGATTGTGAATGTATTTCTTACTGTATCCATAGAAAATGATTAATATTATGAATGCTTATATGTCTGTTGGACAAGGAGAGGAGAAACACACCCAAGGGATTTCGTTCTAGGGTGGGTCGACGTGATAATGAGAATCTGTCCTAGAAGCAGCTTTCCCCAAGGGAAAGAACTCTACCCCTATTGATTGTGACCACACCTATGTGTAATTGTTACCCCAACCCCTCACGCTGGGGAATATAACTAGACTGCTAGACTGTAAGAGTGCGCTGGGGGCCGGGCATTCTAGGGGAAAGGGCAGCTCAGATAGAGAAGGGAGCACCAAATAAAGGGTGTTTGGAGGATCCTCCCAGGAGGGGAGATGCATGTCGAAAGTAGACTATGGACCGAACATGACTGCCACTCAATGCCTCTTTTGCAGACCACAACACCCAAAAGGAGAGAGAACACAAGGGAATGCCCTGCCACAGAGGCAGGGTGGGATGAGGGAGATGGGGGTGGGAGGGATACTGGGATCCATGGTGGTGGAAAATGGGCACTAGTGGAGAGATGGGTATTTGATCATTGTATAACCAAAACCCAACTCTACAACTGTACCTCATGGTGTTTCACTAATAAAAATTAAAAAAAAAAAAAAAAGAGTGGGCTGGGGGATCAAGATCCATACTCCAGGGGCTGGAGCCATAGCACAGCGGGTAAAGCGTTTGCCTTGCACGCGGCCGATCCGGGTTCAATTCCCAGCATCCCATATGGTCCCCCAAGCACCGCCAGGAGTAATTTCTGAGTATAGAGCCAGGAGTAACCCCTGAGAATCATCGGGTGTGACCCAAAAAGCCAAAAAAAAAACCATCTAGACTCCAGAAGGAGAAGGAGAAAGGGGATCCAGATTCCAGAGCCAGGGGGATGGAGGGGGATTGAGAAGGAGAACAAAGTAGCATGGAGGAGGAAGAAGCAGGAGGAGAATCCGAGGAGAATGGAGTTGGGAATGGAATGAACTGCAACTAGGACCAACCAGCCTGGCCCTCGTTTCCTTCCTTCGCCTGCCCATCGCCATCGGCCTCCCGGGATAGGGGGACGGGCGTGAGACTACCGAACGCGGGCGGGTGGAGAGAAAGGCCGCTGCCGTCTTTTTTGAGTTTACACACAAACCCATGTGGGTCAGCACGCAAGGCAAGCTCCCTACCTGCAGTAACGCCACTCCTATTTATTAAAAACCTCAGGCTGAAGACATGGCTAAAGATGCTAAGCACCGTGAACTAATGACTGATTTGTAAGGCAACACTGAACGTCTCTTTAAGAGTGTATTCTTTAAACAGCAGTGCTCCTACATCATAAAAATAAAAATAATAATAAAGTGTATTCTTTTTTTGTTTTATTTGGGGGCCACGATAGCAATGCTCTTTTTTTGCTTTTTGGGTAATACCCAGCAATGCTCAGGGGTCACTCCTAGCTCTGCACTCAGGAATCACTCCTGGCGGTGCTTGGGAGACCATATGGGATGCTGGGGATTGAACCCGGGTCAGCCATGTGCAAGGCAAACGCCCTACCTGCTGTAATATCGCTCTGACCCCGGGCTCTTTTTTTGTTGTTGTTTATTTTTGAGTAGGACTGGAGCGATAGCACAGCAGGTAGGGCATTTGCCTTGCACACAACCGACCCAGCCGACAGGCTTGATTCCTCCGCCCCTCTCGGAGAGCCCAGCAAGTTACCGAGAGTATCTCCCCCGCACAGCAAAGCCTGTCAAGCTTCCCATGACGTATTCGATATGCCAAACACAGTAACAGCAAATCTCAAATGGAGATGTTACTGGTGCCCGCTCGAGCAAATCAATGAACAACGGGAGGACAGTGCTACAGTGCTATTTTTGAAGTCACACCTGGCGATGCTCAGTCCTGGCTTTGCACTTAGGAATTGCTCCTGGCAGTGCTCGGGGGACCCTATGGAATGCTGGAACTCGAACCCAAGTCGACCACATGCAAGGCAAATGCCCTACCCACTGTGCTATCACTCCGGCCCCCGCAGGGCTTACTCTTGGCTCTGCACTCAGGAATCACCCCTTGCAGTGCTCAGGGGATCATATAGGACACCAGGAACTGAACCTGGGTCAGGCAAGTACAAGGAAAGCACCTTACTACCGTACTATTGCTCCTGCAACGGGAGTATTCTTTACGACTTTTTAAACTATTTTTAAAAGATACATTCACGTGGGCTGGAGAGATAGCACAGCGGGTAGGGCGTTTGCCTTGCACGCGGCCAACCCGGGTTCGATTCCCAGCATCCCCTATGGCCCCAAGCACTGCCAGGAGTGACTCCTGAGTGCAGAACCAGGAGTAACCCCTGTGCATAGCCAGGTGTGACCCAAAAAAAAAAAAAATTCACGATACTAAAAGGTGAAAAATATTTCTAATTCTGTTAAACAGACTGAATTTTTTTATTCCCTTCATTGTTGATGTCAAGAATCACGGCATGTTCTTAATACCATTTTCAATAAAATTGCTTTTCAACTAATCGAACGCCAATGTGTGCCCTCCGTTCCTCCATTCTGATGAATGTTCCCCAAGCCAGGGCTCGCAGGCAGCACCTTTTACACACACATGTGTGACTCTAGCAAATGGGGCTATGCTGCTGCTCTGGGACAGGAAGGCAATGACCGGCCACTCACGGGAGCGCCCTGGAGGGCAGTGGCAGACAGGGGCACAGCACGGGCCTGCTGGTAAGCAAAGTCCCACCTCGGGGACAGTATCCACACCCTTCCGGGGGCTACAGGAGTTCAGAGGCAAGCATGACCACATGTGCAGCTGAAGGCCGACCTCAAACCAGGCCCCAACCACCTCCACTCCGTCTGCAGGCCCCCCGGGTGCAGTGGGGTTCTGACTCTGGACACCAGGAATGTGTGCCCCTTCTTTTTTTTCCTTTTTGGGTCACACCTGGCGATCCACAGAGGTTACTCCTGGCTCATGCACTCAGGAATTACTCCTGGCGGTGATAAGGGGACCATATGGGATGCTGGGAATTGAACGCAGGTCGGCCGCATGCAAGGCAAACACCTTCTCCGCTACGCTATCACTCCAGTCCTGTGTGCCTCTTCTGAATGGACCATACTTTTCCTCCTGCCCTGGCCAGCCCAAGTCTCCATCCATTTGGTTCTGAAACTCAGTTACTTCAGAGAAGAGCTCTCGATGAGCCAAGAAAGACTCTGTAACTGCCACCCACCCCCAGTGAAGTAAGGGGTCCCTCCCACTAGGTGCTCCTGTCCGGACATCTACAACCTGCTGTAGGTGTCCCAATTGTGAGCAGAGCAGTCTCACAATTCCAAGGGGGCCTGACAGCCCGAGAGCATCCTTGAAGCCCACCTCCGCATGGAAGGACAAGGCGAACCCTCCGTGGGGGCAGGATTCCTTTTCCCACCGCCCGCTGCTCGGGGAAAATCAAGCTGAGGAGACTCCAATGCCGCAGCAATCTGGCATGGACGTGCGCTTCATAGAGCCACTGGCAGTACGGCCCAGTTCATCTACGAAAATGTGTGTGTCAGGGGCTGAGCGATAGCACAGTGGGCAGGGCGTTTGCCTTGCACGCGGCCGACTCGGGTTCATTCCTCCACCCCTCTCTGAGAGCCCGGCAAGCTACGGAGAGTATCTCGCCCACATGGCAAAGCCTGGCAACCTTCTCGTGACGAATTCAATATGCCAAACACAGTAACAACAAGTCTCATAACGGAGATGTTACTGGTGCCCGCTCCAGCAAACTGATGAACAACCGGAGGACAGTGCTACAGAATTACAATTATGAACAACCATTCCCTCCCTAGATTCTTCTACTTGGGAAGTAAAATCCTTCAGCCAAATACCTGGTCGTTTCCCCCTGGACCTTCCTTTCGTATTTTATATCTTACTGGCTTTGAGATGAGCAAACTTCGCTTTAACGTAATCACTGAAAGACATCACAGAGCGGCCCTCTGGGCCTCTGGCAAGACGGGTGTTCTGAAATATGCTTGGATATGACTCAGCGATTGTGCTGCTGTACCACAATCAGAATCATGATGCATGACGCCGGCCTGAAATTCTAACTCCTTCCTCCCACCCATTCACCTCTGGGTAAACGTCCAAAGTATGTCAAACTGATCGATTTGTGATGAGAATTAGGAATTTCACTTTACATTGATCAGGAATCAGACTAAAAGGAAAAGATCTGGTTTTTACTTACCGAGTTAGCTATGGCATGAACAACTCTAGAAAATCCCACAGCGTCATTCAGCTCCTCCTAGTTAAGAAAATAAACTACTGATGTCCAGACGTTTATCTGAATGAGTTAAAACCTAATTGCTCCCAACCAAAACACACTGAAATTTGTTAGTTTTATTTTCATGGGCATCCATTATCCCAGCAAAGACGTCTAAAATAATCTATGAACATGATTCAGAAAGTAAAATAACCACGTGGCAAATGACTCCTTAGTTACTAAAATACGCTGAGGATTTCCCCCACTATTTCACATTATTTGCTGAAATTTCCAAGATTCTGGCAGCCTTCAAAGCACGAATTTTAAAAAGCTGCCACCTGCTGCCTAGACTCAATACTGCACTAAATCCTGAGGAAACCCGGAGACACACTGGTGAGGCCCCTCAGTGCTGACTTCTGCTCTGTCAATCTGCCTACTCACACAATTTATGCCACAGCGCTCTGAGACTCGTTCCCACTCCGTTTCTCCTAGCCTGTTTTCTTTTCAGCACTGCTTAAACCGGCTCAATTTCTAGCGATCTCAAGTCTCCTTCATTAACTCTAACCTCCACCGACTCTGGCCCCTTCAAGACTCTTCTTGGCGGCAATACTGAAAAGTCCTGCCCCTGCTCCTGCTCTCCAGAGACCCGGAACTCCCCGGCTCCTCCTGCCCCTGCTCTCAGGCTTTACCCTCGCTGCCACCACTCACCTCTGCCAAGGATAATAAGGGCGGGTGAGGACAGTGAGAAATTAGAACCTGCATCCCAAAGGCAGGATGAGAAAGAAGTGAGACAGACATTTTCAGAAATTGTACAACAATTCCCCAAAAGTCAAAGAAACTCCCCTGATCCAGCAATCACACTGCTAAGTGGACCAGAGCAATAGAGGGGAGGGCACGTGTCTTGCACATGGCCAACCCAGGTTCGATCCCCAGCATCCTACACAGTCCCCTGAGGCCTGATTCCTCAGGACTGATTCCTGAGTGCAGAGCCAGGACTAAGCCCTGGGCGCTGCCAGGTGTGTCCACAAATCCAGAACAAAAGAGTAAAACGTAAAGGCTACTTGAAATTTTGCATGGCTTCCTTGTGCAAAACTTCTGTTTATCTTCTCTAATTTTCCTTTTTAAATTATTTTCTGGTGATGCTGGCGATCAAACCCAGGGCTCAGATCTGTGAGGCAAGCACTCTACCACAAGGTTACATCCACATTCTAAAAATTCTGGAAAAAAAAAAAAACCAGAAACAAAGAAAGAAAACAAGAGAAAGGAAAGACAGAAAAGAGAAAGAAAGAGAGAGTAAAAAAGGAAGAAAGAAAAGAAAGAGGGAGGAAAAATGCCTCGAAAGAGCAAAATTACTCCTCAAGCTAAACCCAGTGGCCAGGTCTTACCCTGACTCTTCTCAACCTTTTTCTGACCTGCCCCCATAAGGCCCAGCTTCCTTCTCTGCTTACTTCTTTCCGCAGATGAAAGAAACTCCCCATCTCCTTATGGTCAGACTGCCCTGTCCTCTCAAGGGGTCCGCAGGACACCCACCTACGCCTACGCCACCCCTGGTCTCCGCCACCAGTCACTCTAGTCACCCCATCTAAGCTCACTGATGTCAACGGACCCAACGTTCCAAATCTCTACCAAACGTCTCCATCTCCCCTTCCCATTCAAATCCAATCACAAATTCCCTTGATTCTATCCTCTAAAATGTCTCCAGGTGGGATCAGAGTGAGAGGGCCGCAGGGCGGGCACTTGAGACCAGCCTCAGGGTCAGACCGTGTTGGCTGTGTCCCAAAACCTCCCCTCAGCCTGCTCCCACTCTATCCCAGAGTTTCCTACAAACCCAGTTCTCCTACGGTAAATACCTCGTCCTTCAACGAAGTCACAAGGCTCTAGAAGTCATGGAGAGGAGATCGATCAGAACCCCATCCCTGCCACTTCTCACCCCAAGGCAAGGAGGAGAACGCGGCGGGTTACCTGCTCTTTGGCTTGTTTCTGCTGCTCTCGCCGTTTACGCTCTTCTTCATCGACTTTGCTGATAACGATGTACCGTTCTTTCTAAAAGACGAAGCAGATGTACAGTTTTCCAGAAAGAACTTCACCACCATCCCCATTTCCAACTTCAGATATAGCTACTATTAGAAGTTGCACTTTTCTATCGCTGCAGGCCTTCCTGCCGTAAGCACAGGGAAAACACTTTCCAAGGCCACCAAAAATTAAGTCGATCATTACAGCCAAAACTGTGCCCGTGTCTCCACATTTTTCCACGGTTTACTGATTCAACACAATAGATGTTTCGCTGCTGTTGATGGTCTGAGAGAATAGCTTTCAAAACAGAACACTAAAAAATTACACTGCACGTGAACCTGAGTTGCAGAAGATCTCCGGCATATTTCACAAACGTAAGAACAATGCCTGACATTAATGGTGACTTGTCATATGACCGGCACCTTATTTCTCACATACTAACTTGCATTTTCAACTGGTTAAATACAAACCCTGCGTCAAACTTTGATATTTATCTTATAGTAAGATTGTTTTTAAATTTACTTGATCTTTTTTCAGTCACACAGTGCTCCAGGCTTACTCCTAACACCGCACTCAGAGATCACTTATGATGGGGGTGCGGGGGACTGTATGGGGCGCCAGGGACCAACCTGGGCCGGCTGCCTTGCAAGGCAAGCGCCTTATCCCCTATGCCATCTCTCTGGTCCCAATTTATTCAACCTCTTAATCTGACATCTGGATGAACACACTTGATGCTAGTGCTGTGGGATGTGTCCATTAACCCACATTCAAGGTACGTGCCAGTCTCAAGGTCTTAAAACAAGAACTAAATTCTCTCTTTGAGAAAGAGAGAAGTCAACCCAAGGTAGTCACAAGTGTGTCAACAAGTGCTCTGTCACGGAATCACAGACCCCACCCCCACCCCCAGTTCATTCGCAGAGCCACATTTCTTCAAGGCCTCTAGGATCTTGTCGAAGACTGGACTTGTGCCCTACCACATGGGCTATCTCCCTGCCCCAACGAGACTCTGAAAGTGTCAAAGAGTCGACCCACCATTACCCATCAAGGTTTGATCCACTCTCCTTGGGAAGAAGTGACCAACAGCAACGCTTAATCCCCCACATTCAAAAAACAGAGGGTCATTCTTCATGCACACTACTCTAGCTTTCTGTTGTCGCTGATGTTGATTTTGGATTTTGGGGGGGGGCACTTTCGGGGGTATATCAGAGATATTCAGGGCTTACACCTGCCTCAATACTCAGGGATCACTCCAGGGGATGCTGGGGATCGAGCCCAGGTCAGACAGGTGCAAGGTGAGCGCCCTGGCCCCACCCACTCAGCATTCTGCTCTAAGCAGACCACAAACCAACATTGGCTGTTTTCCACTCGCTCACCACCACAGGCTCTAAGAAAGGCGTGAGCCATCAGCATCAGGCACAGCCATACATCAGGCTCATGTAAATGAGAAAGCAGCTGAGAGAAGTCGTGGAGTGTCCCCAGGAGTGGCCAGGTGTGGATGCGAGCTCCAGCGCATCAGTGCTCTATTACATGTTTAGCTGTCAGCCCTGGCTGACTCCTGAGGTTACCTTTTCCGTTTCTAAAGTCTCAACGTGAATGCCCTTGGGGTACCTAAAGAACAAAGAGAAAACGTGACATCAGGTCAGACAGTGACAATTAAAGCCCTGCACTGAGGGCCAGAGCAGTAAGGCTCTAGCCTGGCACCTGGCTTCAGGCCCTTGAACCGCATATGGTCCTGTGAGCACAGCCAACAGGAATGATTTCTGAGCACAGAGCCAGGAGTAAGCCCTGAGCACTGCAAAGAGTAGCCCAAAAACTAAAACAGAAAACAAAAACCTGCATTTTTTTCCCTTTTATTTTTTTTATTAGTGAAACACCATGAGGTACAGTTGTAGACTTAAAAATTTTTGTGCTTGGGTTTCGATTATACAATGATCAAGTACCCATCCCTCCACAGTGCTCATTTTCCACCACCATGGATCCCAGTATCCCTCCCACACCCACCCCCACCATCCCTCTGTGGCAGGGCATTCCCTTTTGTTCTCTCTCTCCTTTTGGGTGTTGTGGTCTGCAAAAGAGGCATTGAGTGGCAATCATGTTCAGTCCATAGTCTACTTTCAAGATGCATCTCCCCTCCTGGGAGGATCCTCCAAACACCCTTTATTTGGTGCTCCCTTCTCTATCTGAGCTGCCCTTTCCCCTAGAATGCCCGGCTGGCCTCTAAACTATGGAGTAATCCTCCTGGTACTGATCTCGGCTATTCTTGGGTATTAATCTCCTATTTTGTTACTTTATATCCCCCAGATGAATGCAATCTTTCTATGTCTATCCCTCTCTTTCTGACTCATTTCGCTTAGCATGATACTTTCCATATTGTACCACTTGTATGTAAAGTTCATGACTTCATCTTTTCTAAGAGCTACATAGTACTCCATTGTGTAGATGTACCAAAGTTTCTTTAACCAGTCATCTGTTCTTGGGCACTCAGGTTTCTTCCAGATTCTGGCTATTGTAAACAGTGCTGCAATGAACAAACAAGTGCAGATGTCACTTCGACTATACATTTTTGCCTCTCTGGGATATATTCCCAGGAGTGGTATTGCTGGGTCAAATGGGAGCTCAATTTCTAATTTTTTGAGAATCTTCCATACTGTTTTCCAAAAGGGCTGAACCAGTCGGCATTCCCACCAACAGTGAAGGAGTGTCCCTTTCTCGCCACATCCACGCCAGCATCGGTTGCTTTTGTTCTTTTTTTGGATGTGGGCCAGTCTCTGAGGTGTGAGATGGTGTCTCATTGTGGTTTTGATCTGCATCTCCCTGATAATTAATGATGCAGAGCATTTTCTCATGTGCTTTTTTGCCATTCGGATTTCTTCTTTGAGAAAGTTTCTGTTCATTTCATTGCCCCATTTTTTGATGGGGTTGGATGTTTTCTTTTTGTGGAGTTCAACCAGTACTTTGTATATCCTTGATATCAACCCCTTGTCAGATGTGTATTCGGCGAATATCCTTTCCCATTCTGTAGACTGTCTTTGTATTTTGGTCACTGTTTCTTTTGAGGTGCAGAAGCTTCTTAGTTTAAGATAGTCCCATTTATCTATTTCTGTTTTCACTTGCTTGGCCAGTGGCGTGGCATCTCTGAAAATACCATTAGCCTCAATGTCATGGAGGGTTTTGCCAACTTTGTCTTCAATGTACCTTATGGTTTCTGGTCTGATGTTGAGGTCTTTAATCCATTTCGATCTTACTTTTGTACATGGTGTTAGGCAGAGTTTGGAGCCCATTTTTTTTGCATGTAGCCGTCCAGAAAAACGTGCATTTTTAAAGCAGCCATGGAACTCGAAGTTACAAATTAAGCATCACTATACTAACAAATTTACAGTAAAATCACTCCAAGGCCAGAAGGGTTAAGGCACTTGCCTTCCGTCCCGCTGGTTTGGGTTCAAATCTCCAGCACCACATACAGGCCCCCGACTACAGCCAGGGGTCAATGGTGAGCAGAGAGTTGAGAACAGATCCCGGGCAACACCAGGAAAAGCTCAAACCTCCCCTTACCCAAGAAAAAAAAATCCATAATATTTCAGCTGTCGTGTGAAACATTTCCTCGCTGCTGTTTTGAAGCATGCAGAAATGTATCAAATGTCAAAATAATTTTTTTTTCTAAGACAGGCATTTTTCTGAAATGTCTTACAACACATAATGCAGTCAATTCATTACAAGTCAAATCCTGCTTCCAAATATAACAATGCCTATTTCCTAACAGAACTTGTGACGGTCTTTTTAGATTGCATGGGGCATTCCAGGGCGCAGCGAGATGACTATGTGGGTAGTTAAAAAAAAAAATTATTTTGACATTTGATACATTTCTGCACGCTTCAAAACAACAGCGAGGTTTTGAACCATGAACAAAACATGCCTCCCCGAGAAGCATGCTGAAAGTAGACTATAGACCAAACATGATTGCCACTCAATGCCTCTCTTGCAAACCACAGGACCCAAAAGGAGAGAGAGAGAACAAAAGGGAATGCCCTGCCACAGAGGCAGGGTGGGTTGGGGGGGATGGGGGGTGGGAGGGATGCTGGGACCCGTGGTGGTGGAGGATGGGCGCTGGTGGAGGGATGGGTACTTGATCATTGTATAACTGAAACCCAAGCACAAAAATGTGTAAGTCTATAACTGTACCTTATGGTGTTTCACTAATAAGAAAAAGAGAGAGAGAGAGAAAAATGCTCCCCCAAGCACCCACCAACTATAGTCCTGGTGTCCCCCAACACCACTGGGCCTGAGCAGCACCTCACTGAGTGAACCACCAGACCTGCACCGCCATAGTGCCAGGAGCCTGCAAGCCCTCATGGCACCACCACCCACCCACCCAAATAAAAGATGGTAAGTGGGAAAGACGACAGAATCAAGACATGCACATGAACTTGGGATAGTCAAAGCAGCAGCAACGGCAGGATTCCAAAAGAAAAGGTGCACTGAGAGGTCACACTCAGGGGTTCAAGCCCAGTCTCTCAGTTCTCTCTCTCTCTTTCTCTCTCTCTCACACACACACACACACTTACTTCCAGCTCAAAGTCTGGTAGATTAGCTTTCTCTGGAACCTGAAAGACAGAAGAAAAAGCGTTGATTTGGGCTCTTAAAAGGGAATTCTAACTGATCAAGTCTAAACTGGGAAAGACATTTTGGGTTTTTCGTTTGCTTCTGGCCATGCTCAGGGCTTACTCCTGGCAACACCCGGGGGACCACACAGACGCCAGAGATCAACCCAGGTCAGCCAAGGGCAAGGCAAACGTCGCAACCACTGTGCCGGTCACAAGACATTTTGCTCCTTGAAGTGACACGTGACCGACAAACAGAAACAAGTTGTGTAGGCGACTGGAGGACCCTCGCCACTTCCCCGCATCCAACTGTCCTTGGGGCAGAGAGCCGGTGCGGGGCTGAACATGCACGCAGGAGGCCCAGATTCCATCCACGGTGGGGAGCGACCCCAGGGCACCATCACAAGCGGCAAAATGCAACAAAATAAATAAATAACATGCTTTCTCCGAGAGCGGCAGTACAGCATGTCGAGGGCTTGCCTTGCACACAGCCTACCTTCTTGCACACAGCACACGTATGGTCCCCAAAGCACCGCCAGGAGTGATCCCTGAGCACAGAGCTGCTCGCTCTCTCTCTCTCTCTCTCTCCCCCCCCTTCCTCCTCTTCTTCCCTCTTTCCCTTCCCGCTTCCTTCTCCACCTCTCCCCCTCCTCAGATTTTGCTAAGTAAACTTCCTGAAATGAAACTATTTTGGTTCACTAAAAAAAATCAATAAATAAAAATTAAAATTAGTGAATTTCTTCTGGGGCCAAGACACAGTACGGCAGTTGGAGCACCGTCACCCAACCTGGGACTGACGCTCAGCGCCACGCTCTCCAGACCCTGGGGGAAGCCCCGAGAAGCAGGAAGGGCCTGGGCAGTCTCAGGCCCTGGCCTCCACCATCAGCCAGGCAGCTGAGAACCACTGAGAACCGCTTGTTAGGCCCTTAGGCTTGATCATGGTTCAACGCCCAGCACCAGACACACACACACACACACACACACACACACACACACACAACAGTAATAACAGTAAAAGTTTTATACTGTCTTTATTTTAGGAAACAGCAAAGTTTTGGGGCTGGAGTGATAGCATAGCAGGTCAGGAGTTTGCCTTCCACGCAGCTAACCCGGGTTCGATTCCCAGCATCCCATATGGTCCCCCGAGCACCTCCAGGAGTAATTTCTGAGTGCAGGGCCAGGAGTAACCCCTGAGCATCGCCAGGTGTGAACCAAAAATAAATAAATAAATAAATAGCAAAGTTCTAGCCTATTCAAAATATTCCTTCCTAGCCCAGATGAAACAGTTCTCTCCAATCACCAGTCACCCGCAGGAATTGACAGGTTGAAAAGTCACTGGTCTCCCGCAGGGTTGAGTGCCAGTCCACAGACCAGTACGCAGGACAGGGCCCAGTGTGTGGGACGTAAAAAGGCCGAAGATCCCCGCATGAAGAGTTTAAAGCAAACGAACAGGGGCAAGAGAGCTTATACGGAAATTAAGGTGACTGCCTTGCCTGGTCTCCTGAGTACTTCCAGGTGTGGCCCAAAAACCAACAAATAAAATAAACTTTTAAAATGATGCAGACAGACGTTTAAAAAATAATAAGGTAGAGAGATAATGCCACTTTGAGAAACCAGTTACAAAACCAGAGAAAAGGCTAGTGTTTGCTACGTTTCTTTGAAACATGGTTTTTGCTGCTGTTGTTTTATACTGCAGAGAGAAATGAAAAGGATGGAAGGAACCACAAAGTGAATTCCTCTTTTCCAGCACCTTCAGGGATGGGGCTGGAGGCAACCCTACGGCAGGCAGGCGTCTTGCCTTGCTCGCAGCAAACCTGCTTCGATCCCCGGCAGTGCATGTGGTGCCCGAAGCTCCACCAGGAGCACAGAGCCAGGAGTACGCCCTGAGCACGGCGGGGTGGCCCAAAGACAAAACAAAAGACAAAACATTTGTATGTTCCTCAGGTATTATGCTGAAGTTCCTTAAAGCTAAAACAGCTCTACCACTCTGAAGCATAACTTTAGTCACAGTTGCACAATGGTCTTTCTCTCCTCCAGGACAGAACAAAGCATTCCTTCGAGTCCGCGTCCGGATACACCGCCACTCCCCACCGTGCTAGCACTAAGATCAGTGCTTACATGCCGGGGGTCACTCCCGAGCACACTCACACCCTCCCAGGTTTGGCCCCAAAACCCAAAAAGAGTAAAATAAAGCAACTCTACCCTTACACCTTGGAAATATACCTATAATAAAAAGCCTACTTCTGAAGGTGTTTTTAAAAGACCAAGAACAGCACAGGCCGAGAACCATTTACTTGTCCCGAAAAAGAAAAAGGGAAAACGTTCAGGGTAGCTCACCCAGTACACGGCTCTAAATCTAAGTTCTTGTTTTCTTCATTCTGCAATAAATTTTCAATTTTCTCTCTGAGAAATAAGAATCAGAATAAAAGTATGATCAATACCTTTCGGGAGAGAACTCATCAACAAACACCACAATCACATTCAACAGCGAATCTAGACATAAGGACACTTAGGGCTGTGATTTTATCGGGTCATGTCCTAACATCCAGCTCACCAGCTGAAAGGAGACTCGGTGGGGACCCAGGAGACGGCTGCGAGGGCTGGAGAACGTGCCCCGCGGGGAGCAGGCTGGGTGCCGATCCCTGAGCACCGTCAGAAGCAGCCCCAAACAGCACTGGGTGGGGTCCAAGATTTTTTGAGAAGAAGTGAAAGGAAAAATAACTCTGGCATGTTGTTGTCTTTGATCAGTTTGCAACAACTTCTCAAGGGCTCCTCAAAAGTCATTACATCTAAGGGATTTGAACCTTAGCTTTCCGAGTAAGGCAGCTACACTAACAAGTAAATTAAGCAAAGCCAAAAACCCCCCAAAGACAATATGCTTACTGAAAAGATCAGTGCCAGAGAACAGGCTGCAAGTATCTGGAAGGGCCTGTTTTATGCTTCCGTCTCAGGGAACAGTGACCGTGGTTATCAGTGCCTGAGGGCACGTGGAAGCTCTGCCCACTTGCTGAGATGACCTCCTTCCCAGGGATGGGGGCACACGTCCAAACACAACACGCCCCCTCCATCTGCAACTTACACACGACCTAAAGACACCATTCAATTCTGCTACCCACAAAGTCACACCTGTGCATGCACCGTCCGTGTGCGACACAGCAGTCAGTCCTAGCACACACACAACAGGCACACACTGGCCTCCCTCTGGCACAAACTTACACCACTTGGTTAATGAACTTCTTCTGATCCTCGGGAATCATTACGGGACATTTGGAAGCATTAGGAGAAACATACGCGAGAGCTCCTGCACCATTGGACTGGGAGCGCTTCTCATCATACTGCTCTCGTAACTGCCTTTCTTCTTCCTGATTTAAATATGGAATTCCTAAACACAATTGTGAAAAGAATATGTTAGCAGGGTCACTGATCAGCATTAAAAAGTGTTTTAGGGGCTATGGTGCTGCCAGCACAACAATCCGTGATACCTGTGAGGCGAGTGCATCAGCGGCCTGATGGCGCCTTCAAACTTCCAGATACCCCAAAATTGCTGCTGTGCCTTTGGCCAGACCCCAAAAACGTGGGGGAAACTTTACCAAGAAAGTAAACGGCCAAAAGTTAGGTATGTGGGAGACACACCCACAAACCACCTCCGGCTCAGCTATGTAATTGGAGGCATGGCCTCTCTGGTTCCGGATCAAACTGCTTAACAGCCATGATCCCAGAGACTCAGAAATAAATCTCGAAACCCAACAGCTTTTGGCAGAAATGCGTCTGGTCCCTGCAGTAGGTTACCGGCACTGGGCCACCCCAGGTGGGAACAGGTTTCGTGCCTTGGCCTGTTCCCCCTGGCGGCCTGGTGGCCGTCATCCTCCAGAGGCCACTGGACAGTCAGGTTTGGGCCCACAGTGACAAGACACGTGGGGCCTCACGGGATGGGGGTGGAGCCGGCCCTTTCCTCCCCACCCCAACGAGACCCCAAGTCATCACCCACAAACGGCCTCTCTGGCTCCTGATCAAGCTGCTTAATGGCCATGATCCCAGAGACTCAGAAACAAATCTAGAAACCCAGTGGCTTTTGGCAAAAATGCGTCCGGACCCTGCAGTAGGTTACTGTCACTAGGCCACCCCAGGGGGAAAAGGGTATTGTCCCTCCGCCTGCTCCCCCTAGGCGGCTCAATGGCCTCCATCTTCCAGAGGCCGTTAGACAATCAGGTTTGCACCCACAGTGACAAGACACGCAGGGCCTCACGGGAAGGGGGTGGAGCCGGCCCCTTCTTCCCCACCCCAACGAGATCCCAAGTCACCGCCCACGAACAGCCTCTCTGGCTCCTGATCAAGCCGCTTAATGGCCATGATCCCAGGGACTCAGGAGCAAATCTCGGAACCCAGCGGCTTTTGGCAGAAATGCGTCCTGTTCCTGCAGCAGGTTACCAGCACTGGGCCACCCCAGGTGGGAATGAATAGGTTTCATGCCTTGGCCTGTTCCCCCTGGCGGCCCTGTGACGGTCATCCTCCAGAGGCCACTGGACAGTCAGGTTTGGGCCCGCAGTGACAAGACATGCGAGGCCTCATGGGATGGGGGTGGAGTCGGCCCTTTCCTCCCGCCCCCAACGAGACCCCAAGTCATCACCCACAAACGGCCTCTCTGGCTCCTGATCAAGCTGCTCAACGGCCATGATCCCAGAGACTCAGGAACAAATCTCGAAACCCAGCAGGTTTTGGCAGAATCCCTCCAGATTTAACTGTTAAAATTTCAGAATTCCAAAATCGCACGGCCACTACTGCAGCCACGCAACACCATATGTTATTCATAACCAGCAATAGAAAACTAATTATCTACTGTTGCCTTTTCAGCAGATCTGAGTGTTGGGGTAAAATCCCAAATAATAATGGTGGATCTGGTGTCAAAATATTGAATGTAATCAAAGTAGAGAGAGAATAATGTGGAAATTATCTACCCCATATGTAGGGGGAGGGGGAGGGTGCAGGATGGGGGCATACTGGGGTTATTGGTGGTGGAGAATAGGCACTGGTGAAGGTATGCGTGTTTCATTGTATGACCTAGACTTAAACCCGAAAGCTTTGTAACTGCTCTCACGGGGATTCAATAAATAAAATTATAAAAAATGGAAAAAAACAGTAAGGTGGAGTTCATGCCCAATTCAATCAGCTAATCTAGTGGCTGAATACATTGCAGTACTCCTACATTTAAAAAAAAGTGTTTTAATCTTGGGGTCAGAGCAATAGTACAGCAGGTAGGGCTTTTGCCTTGCACTTAGATTCAATCACTGGCATCCTATATGGTACCACCAAGAAGAACCCCTGAGCATCTGAGAGTAGCGCCCCTCCCCAAAAAATGCATTTTAATCAGCCAAAATCTAAGCCACTTGTTCATCCTTCTTCCTACAAATATTTAGCACTTACAGGGTGCCAGGTGTATGGGTTCTAAAGGCCCTGAGGTCTAAAATGAACAGAGATGCATCCTGCTTGATGTTGAGAAGCCAGAAACTGAAACTTAAGATCTTTTAGGGAAAAAAAAAATTAAGTCTAACAGGTAAGGTGTAGGATAACATTGATTTGTCCTTTCTGCCTCACCACTGGGAGCTTAGGTTTATTGGATTACTCCCATTACAGTGCTCCCATTCTTCTGTGCTTATCTGTAATCTCTTTCTTTGTGCTCTGCTTCCACATCTGGTCAATCACCTTTAACTCCTAATCAGACTCTGTTAACCTTTGAATACTGCTTTTCTCTTCTCAAGTCCTTTGCGCATAGTTAATTCCAAGCAATGTCCTTTTTGTATGGACACTGTAAGACAGTTAATGCTATGCTTTTGTAACTTGGGAGTTAATTGATTCTGAATGATATTCACTTCCGGGCATTGGGCATCTGCATCTGTTCTCTCGACTTAAGCCTCAGTTGCCCTTACTTCCTAGCACCCCAAAAGCAAGGTACAGATGTGGGACTGGATGGACCCAGGGCAAGCTATGAGCTACCCTGGCATCGAAATGGGCCAAAGCAGCATAATACTATACTTAACTATAAGAGCACGGTCGTGGACAAATTCTGTCATGATCCAAAAAGTAACAACTGAATTAGGACACTGCTAGGGTTCACTTAATCACTTAATCCCCGTTATTCATCGATTTATTCGAGCGGGTGCCAGTAACGTCTCCATTCATCCCGGTTGCGTGCTAGCGTAGCCCAATGGTATCTGTTCGTTTTAGGAACATGTAGAGCCTCAAACCGATCATTTAGGGTCTTGACGAAGAAGTCTGACCATCTTATAGGTGGGCGTCCACGTGATCTTTTGATGTCTCGTGGAATCCAATCAGTAATGGCTCTAGTCCAGCGGTTGTCTATAAACCTCATTACGTGTCCAGCCCGTCTGATTTTTGATGTCTTGGCAAATGAGACAGCGTCCCTGATTCTTGAGCGTTGACGAAGATCAGAACTCCGGATTCTATCTCTCATTTGAGTGAATCGTGATATTCCAAGCATAGTTCTTTTGATTCCTCTTTGAGAGACCCGAATAGTGTTCTCATCCTGTTTTCGTAGGGTCCAGGTCTCTGAGGCATATGTTAATGCAGGAAGAACAGTGGAATCAAAGAGATGTGCTCGTAGCTGGAGGTTCTTTGTCCTTTTAGTTATTTCTTCAATGCTCTTGAAGGCATTCCAAGCCGCTCTCTTCCTCCTGCGCAACTCAGGTGCCAGGTCATTCATCATGTTGATTTCTCGACCTAGGTATATATAACTGTTGCATTCGGAGATGGTGGTTCCGTTGAGAGCGAATGGAGCGTCAGGAACAAGGCTGTTTCTCATAAACATTGTCTTCGCAAGATTCAGCTGTAGTCCGACCTTTCCACATTCACGGTCAAAGTCGTTCAGCATTTGTGCCGCTTGGTTGATGTTTGGTGTTATTAGAACGATGTCATCAGCAAAGCGGAGGTGGTGTAGTTGCCGACCATCTATCTTCACTCCCATGTTTTCCCATTCCAGTCGTCGCATGATGTTCTCGAGGGTGGCACTGAAGAGTTTTGGTGAAATGGTATCACCCTGCCGAACCCCTCTCTTGATATGGATGATTACTTCTTTGTAGAATGGTGAGATCTTGGTAGTTAATCCGCAATAGAGCTCACGAAGGATCCTGATGTATTGAGTTTGTACGCCCTGATTGGCTAGGGCTTCTATGACCGCTTCCGTCTCAACAGAATCAAAGGCCTTCTTTAAATCAATGAACGTTAGACAGAGTGGCATCTTGAACTCCCGAGATACCTCAATGAGCTTGGTTACTGTGTGGATATGGTCGATGGTACTGAATCCTTTTCGGAATCCAGCTTGTTCACATGGTTGTCCTTCATCTAGTGTTCTGCTAATCCTATTCAGGATGACTCAAGTGAATAGTTTGTAGATGACAGACAATAGGCAGATTGGGCGATAGTTGCCAATGTCGTGGATGTCTCCTTTCTTGTATAGTAGTACAGTCTTGCTGGTTTTCCATTGGGATGGAACCTTGCATTCAGACAGGTAGCGTGTGAAGAGTCGAGCCAATGTATTGATGAGTACTGATGGTAAGTTCTTCAGGTGTTCAGGTCTGATCTTGTCTGGGCCAGATGCTCTTTGTTTCTTTACCGACGAGATGGCATGTTGGATTTCGGAAGGGAGAACATTGGGAACGACATATCCATCATGTGGTATGTGGTATGTGGGCAAGTGGATGTGGCTATTAAAGAGATCTGAGTAGAAGTCATGAATAATCTTCTCCATTGCCCTTCTGGAAGATGTGATAGATCCATCATGATGTCGGAGGGCAGTCATCTTGGTTTTGTAGTTGGTGAAGGACAGGCGGGCATTACGAATGTTTTTCCCAGCTTCTGCTGCATCTACCAGTACTGCTGCTCTCCTGTTTTTGAGGTCATCCTTGATGGCTTCTCTGCACTGTTTTGCCAGTTCGGACATTTGCTTGTGGTTGCCTGAGGCACGTGCCAAGCCACGTTGGCGAATAAGTTCAAGAGTGTTCGAAGAAAGACGGTTTTTTGTGGTTATCTCTCTCTTGGCATTCCTTGCACAATCATGGAGGTGCTGAATCATTCGATCGTATTCCTCATCAATGTTGTCAATGACGGCATCTTCCCATGTTGCCGCAACAGAGCCAAAGAGTTCCCAGTTGGTGGTTGTTCTGGGAGTCCTCTTCTTAAACCTTGCATTCTTTTCTCCTCGTTCTGTGAGGTAGAATTTTGCATGAAGAAGATGGTGGTCTGATCCCGTTTGGAATTTTGGGACAGCAGCAACATCGGTTAGGCAAAACCGCCGATTGAATATGATGTGGTCTATTTCATTGTGGAACCGTCCATCGGGAGACTCCCATGTCCAACGTTTAGATTCAG